GGGGGGGGTGTGGGGGGGGGGAGGGAGGTGTTGGCATTACATGATCTTGGTTACAGCTCACTTATTAGTTTGTTTTAATAAACAGCTTTAGTCCAGATCTGGTCTAAAATTTGGCCCGTGCATATTTATAAGTTTTCGGGTTTACAACCTATGTAAAGAGGGTAGTGTGTTTACAGTTTTGCCCCCAAGTATAAATATAGGTTTCTAGAAGTCTTTGTACAGTTTTTTACACTCACAATGAAAATATCGATTTTTCTCTGAGCTCTCTTCTTTCCTCTTGCCTAAAGCCCTAACCAAATACACATACGTTGTAGCTGGTTTGTTAATCTTCACAATATCTTTGTTCCAAATCTTAGCTAGTAAAGGGGTGGTTCGTCTATTCTTTCTCATTAGGTGGTATATATGCTGATGATCATGTCAAGGGCCCTTGAGCATTGAGGGTCTAGATGGCCTGATCCTTTATGTTGGATTGTCCAATATAGACCTGTATAACTTGTTAAATTACTTATGGAGAGACTGTGTCTTGCAATTTCTCCATGCCCCATTTATTGTTAAGGAGGTATGATCCCTAACCTTGGTGCCACCAGATTTTTAGTTGGAATTTGCAATTTGCCTGATTGAACAAGAGGTGATTCATCTGTTCCACCAAAATAAGCTATTGCCTGAGTTTATTTTCCACAAGATGCATATTATTTTTTTTTATCTTACCCCTTGTTTCCAATAGATTTCTCAGGTGCTTGAATCTTTGTTGTTGATAACTTCAGAAATAAAGGGTTGGACCTATGGAAGTATTTAACATGTAGGAACTTGGTTGAAAGATTGTCTTCATTTCTGAACATCCATCATCTTTTGGCCACAAAAGAGTTACACATACCTTATAACTTCTCGAAGTCAACTCCCCCTTCCTCCAATGGGAAGCTCATATTGTCCCATGAACATCAGTCATAGCTTTTTTTTTCTTCCTTTCCTCCCTAGAAATTGTTTAACCTTTTACTTCTTGTATTTATAGCTTGAGATGTTATATATAGGTTCATCAAGTCTACGTTTTCGTTCTTTCTCCCTCCTACCCACTTCTAAGACGAACATGATTCATGGCTCAAATGTCTAGTACTCTCGCGTTACTCCAATGCTTCATGATGCCTCGCTATGTTGTATAACAGACGTTACTTTCTTCTCGTCCTTTTCTCCTTTCCCCTTTTCGTCTAAATTGAGAAAACCGCTTTATTCTCCTCTAGGACAGATTGGTGGTTGTTCTTCAGGAATTTAGAACATAAATTCAAGGCTATTGTAGTAAGTTTATTCAAATAAAGCCATGTATTTGTGGTATAGATTCATCACCGAGTTGTATGCCTAAATAAAGTCATAAGACTTACGAGGGCATGAATTCAGTCAAATAATGATTCTATCTGTTGTCTCATTCTTTTAGAAGGTATCAAATTTCATAGGCAGTGTGCCATCACCTAATAGGTCATGATCTTCAAATGGATGCGACAAAGCGGATCACACGAGTGCTCATTACGACATTTAATCCAAAGGTGACGTCGTTGTCCTATCTCTAGTTTCTGGTAGTATGTGATAACATTTAGAGGTGGACCTACATGAAGAGTAGTGAGGTCATCTGAACCTATTATCCTGAAGAGAAACCATGTTGCATATTTTTATATACAACAAGGACCCTTAAATAATTTTGAAGTGCCCCCTAAAACACAAAAGATGGATTTTTACGCTGGTCTAGTATGTCGTATCTATCCCCTCCCTCACCCCCATGACTTGGGTTCGAGACCCAACACCAGTGATTTTTAAGTTTTATTCTTTTTCTATTGAGTGCTCAACTTGGTTTTTTTTCTTTATATTTTCTAAGTTCATCAATAATTATTTAGTACTAGTATATGTTAGGTTAACTTCAACACAAAATAGTCTGAAACTCCTTTTGAGAAATATCCTTCTAGACAGTAATAAAAAAACTCCAAAAATGTCCCTTCTGCCTTCAAGGATCACATCGACAAAGCAGAAGACGTCTGTCGATTCAACGACAATGATTGAGACTCTGTTTGGACTACTTAACAAACTTTTAATCTTGGTCAGTTTTGGAATATTCTTTCAGTCACTGATTCAAATTCATTAAGTTTTCAAGGAGTTAGCCCGCCAAACTTGTTGTTACTAGCTGACATTTTTAGCGGTACCCTTGTTGCGCTCAAATCCTGGGTCCGCCTCTGATAACATTTCCAGAATGAAATGATAATTAATAAAGGACTAGGAAGAAATAAATTGTGAAGGATAAGACGAACTATACAGAAGTACTATTCGCCCCAAAAATGGTGCGCGAGTAGAGCAGCTGAAATTTCATTGGAAATTTTTTTATACGATAGACTGTGGATTAGCTGAAGGACTGAAAGCAACAGCTTGGATGGGACCGGAGCAGATACTATCCTTTATTTATAGGCATAGAACATAGAATATGCCCACTTGTGAAAACAGGAACTAAAGATTAGTTATGCCCAACCCCAAGTGCGGCATGTCTTCGGGGAAGCTAATGCCTTTGCTAACTTCATGGCTAAATGTGGAATATGGATGCATTTGTAGCAATATTACTATCTTAACGCTCTTTCAGTTCGCTTCTTCCTTTGTTTGCAATGCTTATGCACATGAGTAGCACTCTTCCTAACAATTTGTGACAAGAACAGTCAACTTTTGTAACGATTAAGTTTTATATAGGAGTAATAAATTATCTTTCCAAGTCCAAAAAAAAAAAAAATTGTTGATGCTGTAGAATAGCACTACGGATCCACTGCATGCGCTGGTGACGTTTCCAAAATTTAACGGCTGATCAATTGGGAATTCTAAAATTTAATACTTGCGCAATATGCTCACAGCTCTAGATCATCTCAAAAACTTTTCACAAGGCTACTGTGCATGAATGAAATCTTTGGAGATCGACAAAACAAAACATACCATAAAGCCAGAATCATTTTCATTATTATAAAGATATATCACACATAATAAACAAGTACCATGATTTTGTAGCCACCACTGCATAATTACCAAACTCTTAGGGTTAAGTTTAATTGTGATCAGATAGCATAATTAGTGGTCTCTTTGGAAGGGATAAAGACAATTTGATCATCTTGAAGGAAATGACAAATAGGAGTAGTTCCAGGCTTAAGTTTAAGCACTACAAAAGGCAATCCCCTTGGGTTCCAAAGAGATGTATCTTTGTGGCATACAGATATTGCTTTAACCTTTGTTCCATCAGCACCAATCATAGATACCGCAAATGTCATGGTACGTCCACCAACATGGCAAAAATGCACTGCATATGCGTAATTAAGTTTGTGGCATACCATGTTATCCCCATCACCTATTTGTTGAACTTCTTGAATGGTGTATTTTTGCAACATTGGAGTTTCCCCTTGTACCTCTGTTGTAATTGCCACAATATTATTACTTCCTAGCATGGATAAGCTGAAATCTACCATAGATTCCAAAGAAGTTGCACAACTTTTCTTCTCTTTATGTTTCACCTCTATCTCTTCACAAAATTTGATTGTTTCCTCAATAGTTTGAGCATCCTTTGAGCTACTATCAATTGAGAAATGGTTTAGAATTTCTAGAATTTTTTTCAAAGAGAAGGGAATCGATTCCACAAATTGGCGACTCAAAAAGGGTGCATCGTTTTTGTTTTTGAAAGAGGGAAGGTTAATGACTTTTCCCTTCGCCAATTCCTTTTCTAAGAAGTAAGGTTTGTAAAGGAAATCATCTTGAAGATCACTCCTTGCACGGCTTATTTCAGTTACTTGTTGGAATTCATTTTTGCTAGGGATTTCCTTCTTTATATCACGTAACTCATCCTCGGTAGCAACATGATAAACCAAGATTCCATGCTGGTGTAAACCGTAGTATACTTTTTCCTTTGTATTCGTCTTATCTTGTTTTAGCTCACGTATGTCATCCTCTATAACAACACAACGAAAATATATTATTTCTTTCCAAATAAATTTATAATGACCAAATTAAGATAAAGAGTTTGGGGCAATCATCTATTGGATGACAGTTATTTTTCTCTAATCCCATCGATAAAGTAAGTATTCCAAAGTGACAAGCGGTAAAATTGTTATTTTCTGTCAAAATGATGTCTAAAAAGTAAAAACATTAACATGTCCAGTTGGAAAAATCATGCATCATGTATGAATGGTTGCTTAAATTAACAATATAGGTATGTTTGTTCGGGCTGTTTCAAATTGGATTAAATCTTCAAACTTTAATGAAATCAATGTTGTGTGTCAAAGTTGATGAGAAAGTGCAATTAAGTTTAATAATCGAGGAATAATATTATCCTGTTTTAAACATAAAGTTGCAAATAAGTTAATTAAATAGGCCCATACAGAGATACTTTTATCTATGTTTGCTTAAAAATCTTTTGACCATAGTCATAGCAGCTTAACCACACACTACAAAAAAACAACAAATTTGCCACTGAATAATTCCTACCGATTTAATTCAATTGCAATTTTGGACTGATTCTGTCGGAAACTTTATTAAAAATACATGTTAATATATATATTTATAATTTTTAGCTCCAAATTGCGACTGATTCAATCGCTCAGTTACGCAAAAAATACCGTGAAAATATTTTTTATGGTTTCCGACCGAATCAGTAAATAAAGACATATCAGGAAGATAAGTCAAAGGACACAAATAATGAAATGTTTTCTCTCAACAAGGAAAACACCTCTGGAGTTGTAGACAAACCTGATTGGGGAAGGAAATGTTTGATGACTTTGGGGATTTGAGTGTTGGGCAATTTTACTTTCCAATAAATCTCTGGAGATATTGCTGCGTAAGTACTTGTCACAAAAGCAAGCTACATATACAACAATAAACAACTTTTGTTAATCAATATATCTCCTATATAAGCAATAATTAAGTAGAATATGAAGCTCTTCCATTTTCTGATACTTTAATTTGTCAAATCACAACAATACATATATAAACAATAAGTTTAATGAAGCTCTTCCATTTTCAGATACTTTAATTTGTCAAAGAGTATATTATATTAATTAAGTTGATTGAAGCATCCCGTGATAATCATAACCTTCTTGAAAACTCTTTTAAAAGCAATGGCGATTTAGGAAGTATGATACTGTATTTTCGAAATGAAATGTCTTCTTGATTAGGATGAAAATTTAAAAAAAAAAAAAAAAATTGTGAAAGATAAAGACAAAACTATATAGAAATCTACTCACACAAAAGATGATAAGCGAGTAGAGTATCTGAAAGTTCATTGGAAATTTTTTCTATGAGAGAGTGTGGAATGGATCAATGGATAAAGGATTGAAAGCAAAAGCTTGGATGGAACAAGAAGAAATGTCCTTTATTTATAGGCATAGAAAGGACATACTGTATCACCCTCTTTGGGCAATTATTGAAGATAAATATTTTCTTAGAACCAACTAGGCGAATATTACACGCACAAAGTGACAAAAATGAAGATCATAGACATGAAGATCTCTTTGTATAAGAAAATGAGTTGTCAAACGTGGCGATTAACTTGTAACTTGCAATTATATTATTGCATAAATTCTTTTTGAAAGGCAGCCTAGAGTATTACTATAATGACATATTGTAACGATCCGACGGGTCGTTTTGAACATTTACACTTCGCTTGATAGTTTACGGGTGTGAGTAGCTTCGTATGATGTATTTTGATTTAAGTGAATTGTCGGTTTCGATTTTCAAGTTATTCGGGACTGATTTAAAAGAATGATTCTCAACTAGCAAGCTTTAAATTTGAAAGAGTTGATCGAGTTTGACTTTTTAGCATTTGACTGCAGATTAGAATTTTGATGGCTCCGTTAGCTCCATTGGGTGATTTTGGACTTAGGAGTGTGTCCAGATTGTGATTTGGAGGTCCGTAGTTGAATTTGGCTCGAAATGGCGAAAGTTGAATTTTTTGGAAAGTTTGACCGATAGTGGACTTTTGATATCGGGGTCGGATTTCAATTTTGGAAGTTGGAGCAGGCCTATAATGTCAAATGTGACTTGTGTACACAACTTGAGGTCAATCGGATGTGATTTGATGGGTTTCGACATCGGTTGTGGAAGTTTGAAGTTTCAGGTTCATTGATTTTTGGATTGAGATGTGATTAGTCATTTCGATGTTGTTATGTGTGTTTCAAGGCCTTGAGTAAGTCCGTGTTATATTATGGGGGTTGTTGGTTGATAACTAGGGATTTTGATACATTTCATACTCCTTCTTGCTTATGTTTTGATTAGAAATTTGTACAAAATAGTCTCAAAAAGGCTCACAAGTTGTGCTTGATTGCAGGTTTGATCAACAAAGTGACAAGATGTCAAAGATGGCTCAAAAAGGAGTGAAACTTGCACAAGTACCAAGACAAGACAAACTCAAGCAAAGCAGGCTCAATGCGGCCGCACACCAATCTGTGCGGTCCGCACAAGTGAGGTTCAGAGAGGTGAACTTCCAGGCCAATAGGCAATGCGGCCGCATGAGATTTAATGCGGTCCACAAAACCAAGGATCAGAGAAGTGCCAGTTAGGAGATTGAAGCCAATGCGGTCCGCGCTCCATTTCATGCTGACCGTATTAGAAGCCACCGCGGCCGCACTCGATTCTGTCGATCCGCATTGCCCGAGTTCAGAGAGCTGAATTTTAAGTCAAGAGTCTTAGTGCGGCCGCACGTGATTTTGTGCGGTCCGCACTAGCCTCGCAGGAGTATTTTTGTCCAGATTTTTTAGCTAAGTATAAATAGCTTCTTTTCCCATTTTTAGGTTATCAGACAGTTTTGGTACTGGGCTGCGCTCTTGACTTCGAATATTTTAGCTATTTTGAGTAATTTTAGCTTCATTTCAACATTGAATCTTCTAGTTTATCTTAGAAATTAAATAATATGAGTTTTTCTTCATCTATTTCTTTATTTTCTTCTCTAATTATGAGTAGCTAGACCCATAAGCTAGGGTTGTGGCTCAACCCTAGTGTGGGTAATTGATGGATCTTGTATTTTCGGACCAGATTGACTATGGATGTTTGATATTTGGGCTAATTTCACGTTTAATTGCTGAATTGGTGGTTGCAAACACTAGCTTGTGTTTAGTTGACTTTGGCTCTTCTTGAGAAAGAGAGTCTAAGTCTCTGAAATTGGTCCAACAAGGAATTGGGGCGTACTCAAGAGAATGATAGCCCAAATTAAAGGGTTAAACCTAGAGATAGTAATACCCAACTTGAACCTTGATTGTTTGTGCAAATTTACATACATAATTGGTCTTGAGAAAGTCAATTCGGGAAAAATCATTCGAACCACCGAGAGGGGTAGAGTGGGTAAAATCGTGCAACGGTTATATCATACTCCCCAAATATGTCAATCATGCCTTAGACTCGAGTATCCGTCAATTGACCATCTAGGAGAAAGTCACTACCCTAGTGCGTTTTAACCATTTGAACAACTCGCTATAGTTTACTCTTAGCTTATTCTAGTTTAATTTAGCATTGTAGTTTGATAAAATTAGACGTAAATCAAAAACCCAAGAACGTTAAGAAGTGCAATTTGGAACACATACACAACTCCACTTTAGACAAACACCCGACTCCATCTTCTAGCTCCCTGTGGAAATCGATCCCGACCTTAATCGGGTAAAAGCTGTTTCGACCCTCTCTCGCTACTCAATAGTAGTGTAGGGTTGGCCTCGATCACCTTTTGGCACCGTTGCGGGGGAGCTATCGGTTTTGGCTATCTATCTAAATAGTTTTGTGTATTGTTCTTCTTTCCTTCTTTGTTACTAATTTTGTTTGTGTCAAAACTCAGGTACCAAATGGCAGCGAACAACGCCAATGACCCTCTTGGAAATGTGATTGCGGGGGAGAAGGTAGATGATTTCGGAGATGATGAGGTGCCTCTTGTACCTCAAAGACAACATAGAGGCCGCCAGGCTAATGCTAATGTTAATGACAATATCCCAAACCCTCCTCCGCCACCTCCAAAAGTGGCTCCTAGAGTGCTTCCGAACCAAGGCTTTGCAAGTGCTATTGTCCCACCCCGAATCCGGGCGGGCAATTTTCAAATAATCAATATGATGTTGACCTTACTAGAGCAACGTGGGTACTTTACGGGCGTTGCAAATCAAAATGCTTACAAGCATTTCAAGGGGTTCGTGGATACATGTTGGGGGAGCAAGCAAACTAATGTGTCCGAGGATGCTCTTAGGTTGAGACTCTTCCCATTCTCACTTAGAGGGAAGGCATTAGATTGGCTCGAGCGACTTCCCAACCATTCAATCACTACTTGGGATGAGTTGGAGGATAAGTTCATTGCAAAACTTTTCTCACCGGGGCATATGGCTGCATTGAGAGATAAGATCTTGGCGTTCAAGCAAGATCCCACGGAACCTTTACATGAGATTTGGGAGCATTATAGAACAATGGTGAAGGAATGTCCCAACAATGATATGACTGAGGCAATGATTTAACAAACCTTCTACCGGGGCATTAATACAACAAAACAATGCATAGTGAACCAACTTGTTGGGGGCAACTTCATGAAGCTGTCGTATGATGAGGCTTGTGACATTCTTGACGAGATGGATGACACTTCTTCCGCTTGTCAAAGTAGAGCCAATGTGCCCCAGGGTGACCCCACGATTATTTATTTGCACAAGGAATTACATGATCATGGGTAGGCTATAGCTGAGTTGACAACCACGATGAACCAACTAGCGAAGGCATAGTGGTAACAAGTTCAAAATCCTCGCCAAGTGAATTCCATGGAGGGTGTTAACATGCTTGTCAACAATAGAAGACAAAGAGGGTAACAGAACCAAGGGAATTAAGAGCAATTTGACAATGATTGTGGTGGATTTCAAAATGATGTTTATGATGAACAAAGTGAAGAGGTGCAATACATGAATAATTATCAATGCCAAAGAGGTAATTCTTCCAACCAACAACAATGGAGACCCTAAGGCAATTGGGGCAATCAACAACAAGGCAGTGGTAATTGGGGAAAACAACCAAAACAACAATTGGGGCAATCAGAACAACAATCAAAACAACCAAGGAAATTAGAATGGTAATAATAACAATTGAGGTAGTAATAACAATCAAGGTGGATGGAACAATGGAAACCAAGGAAACCGGGGGCAAGGCTTTCAAAGGCCCCCAATGTACCAACAACCAAACAGTCTACCCCCATTCCATATCAAGGTCCTAGTTCTTCTAGCAATGATATGGGTAGAATTGAAATGATGTTCGAACAGATGATGAAGAAGAATGCGGACTCGGATGCTCAGTTGGCTTCCCACAATACCTTTATCAGAAACTTGGAGGTGCAATTAGGCCAAATCTCATAGTCTATAAATACTCGCCCTAAGGGTGCGCTACCAAGTGATACGGTAGTGAACTCGAGGGGTGGGAACAATCATGTTATGGCGGTAACAACAAGAAGTGTGAGAGGTGGTGATGTGCATGCCTCCAAACAAAAGCAAATTGTGGATGATGATATTGAGTTGGAAGAAGATGAAGTTCCTTTGGTGGTTGAAAATATGATTGACGAAATGTGAATGAAGAAGTGAGGATTGATATTCAAGATGTCGAGGTGGAAAACCAAAATGACGTGAACCTGTCTAGGGAACACATAATTGACATGCCGGAGCAGGTTGTGCCTAAAGCCAAGGCCACCTCCACCTTATCCTCAAAGGCTTGCGAAGCAGAAAAATAAGAATCAGTTCAAAAAGTTCATTGACATGATAAAGAGCTTATCCATCAATGTGTCTTTAGTGGAGGCTCTTGAACAAATGTCGAGCTATGCTAAATTCATGAAGGACTTGGTAACAAAGAAGCGGTCTACGGATTGTGAAACTATAAAGATGACTCACCAAGTTAGTGCAATAGTGCATTCAGTGGCCCCCGAAGCTTGAAGATCCCGGTGCTTTCACCATTCCTTGCACCATTGGGAGTGCAGATTTTGCTAAAGCTCTATGTGATTTGGGGGCTAGTATCAATTTGATGCCCTATTCCGTTTTCAAGACTTTGGGTATTGGGTAGCCGATGCCGACTTCCATGAGATTACAAATGAAAGATAGAACGATGAAGAGACCATTGGGTATTATTGATGATGTGCTTGTCCGGGTGGATAAATTTATCTGGCCAGCTGACTTTGTGATCTTGGATTGTGAGGTAGATTATGAAGTTCCTATCAGTTTGGGGAGACTTTTCCTTGCTACGGGGATGGCCTTGGTTGATGTGGAAGCAGGGAAACTCACCTTCCGGGTGGGTGATGAAAATGTGGTCTTTCATGTTTGCAATCGATGAAGCAACCCAACAGTACCGAGGTGTGCTCTTTTGTG